ACCAGCTGCTCCTCAGAAAACCTAGACAGTGTTGCTATAAGTTGGAATGGGCTTGATGGCACTAAACAACAACAGCCTAACTGGTTTTACCCATCATGAAGTCTGGCCCTTTCCTTGGGGGCAGAGGAAAACATAAGCCCCTGGGAAGGGCTGTAACAGGTACTGAAGAACCACACTGATGTGACATCCATAATACATTTTGTGTGTTCCTACCATAGGCCTTTTCAGTGGAATTGATCGAAGAAATGCTACATACCTACCCAATTAGCATGACCCCTCTTAAACTGGCCATTTTCCGGATACCCTGCCTATCCCTATGAATAAACATGATGCCTTTTCCCACCCCAAACTTTTTTAACACCAATAAAGTTTTTGTTTGGGGAGATGGGAATTAAGCATTACATTAAGCCCTCCCTGTCTCCTCTTGGAAGCCTCTTTCCTATAATAAAACTTTGCTCCTACAGAAACTGTGCCTCACCTGACTATTCTTAATCAGTAGAAGGCAAGACCCGTCTCTTGTAGGGCAGAGATGCAGCTAACACTCCCTGTAACAGGAATTATTCTTGAAAAAGAAAATGTTTGGCTTAATGATTGATGGTTAATGTTATGTCAGCTTGGCTAGGCCATGAGTCAAAGTGATTTTATATATGTTATATAATTAGCTCCTGTTCTCTGATCTGATGTGAGCAATCAGTTGAAAGGGGAGTATGGTGTGACCTATTCCCAATATATATTGATGTTATTTTAAGAGGAAAATATACCAAAGTCAAACATAGTCTATGTTGCTGTTATTATTAAGTACAATTGAGTCCATTCCAACTCATATCGACCATGTTGTTATTGTTGTTAAGTGCCATGGAGTCGATTCTGACTCATAGCGACCCTGCATAGGGTTTCTTGGGAGTAGCTGGTGAGTTTGAACCATCTGCTTTGCCGTTCAAATCGACCTTGCAGTTCAGCGTATTAACCTGCTGTACCATACCAGGACTCCCACATCAACCATTGTTGTTAAGTGCTGTTGAGTCAGTTCCTATCCATAGCAACCCTTTATAGGGTTTCCAAGGAGCTACTGGTGAGCTTGAACCATCCACCTTGCAGTTCCAATGATTTAGCAGTCTGAACGCTTTCGCCCACAGTGCCACACCAGGACTTGATTGTTGTTGTTATTTGCCATGGTCAGTTCCGTCTCATAGCGACTCTGCAGGGTTTCCGAAGCTGTAAATCTTTACAGGAGCAGAAAGCCTCATCGTTCTCCAGCAGAGCAGCTGGTAGTTTTAAACAGCTGACGGTTAGATTAGCAGCCTGATTCGTAACCACTACGCTACCAGAGCTCCTTCAGGACTTTGATAGAGATCCTTTTATTAAACTATAAACAGGTCAAAGACAATCATCTAGAGGGAAACTATCAGAATGTTGCCAAAGTGGAATCCAAGGAATTCATGGCCATGGGGCTAATTATAGATGAAGGAAATCATGATTGGTGGCAAAAATAATCATCATTGTCATAGGTGGGATTATAGAAGTGGGGCTGGGGGCAGGAGGTGAGGCAGGTGAGGGTTGTGGGAAGTTGATTGGGACATATACACAACAGTAAAAATTAAAACCTCAGGATTGGCTTTGGACTTCAACCACCTGACTACATGGTGGGCAGGGTATGACACATGATCCTGAGGCTCTAAGTCAGTCTCCAGGACTCCAACTTTTAGAGTACATGCTGTTATTTTTCAGTTAATCATTAAAGACACACACAGGCAAATTCCCTGATTCTCCTTGTTAAGTCTGAAGGGAAAGCCCCTCTCTGGGCTTTCTGGGAGTTGTAATCTACTTTCAAATGTACTCTGCCTGAGGGCAAAATTGCCACATTCCTGGTTAATGGTCAGAGAGAATTCAAATGGAGTTTGAATTTACATCAAGGTTTCAAATGGAGTTAGGGCTCCCCCTGTAAGGCACAGCTTCCACAAACTAAGTACTTTAGAACTGAAGCTCTAATATAAACTTCTGGCAAAACTCACTCTCTTGACACAGTATCCTACTGGACAACCTATGGCCTCTAGTTCCTGGGACTGAGGTGGCAGCCTTCTGCCTGATGTTAGGTTTGTCAGCCCCTGCATCCATATGAGTCAAGAGAAGCCTCTAGCCTGACACCTGATCCATGGACTTTGGACTTGCTAGCCTCCATTTGCTAATGAAGATCAAAGTCTACAGCCTTCAGTATGGATTATATCTCAAAGTAGAGAAAATAAAAATCCTCACAAGTAGATCAGCAAATATTATAAGAAACAGAGAAAAGACTGAAGTTCTGCTTGGATCCATAACCAATGCTCATGGAAGCAGCAGTCAAGACATTCAATTAGGCAAATCTGCTTCAACAGACCTTTTCAAAGTATTAAAGAGCAAAGACGTCAGTTTGGGGACTAAGTGTGCCTAAGTCATGGCATTTTCAATAGCTTTATATGCATGTGAAAGTTGGACAAAGAATAAAGTAGACTGTAAAAGAATGGATGAATTTGAGTTATGATGTTAGAGAAGAATATTGAAAGTACCATGGACTGCCAGGAGAATAAACAAATCTGTGTTGGAAGAAGTACAGCCAGAATGCCCCTTAGAAGGAAGAATGGCAAAGCTTTTTTTCTTGTACTTTGGATATGTTGTCAGAAGGGATCAGTCCCTAGAGAAGAATACCATACTTGGAAAAGTGGAGGGTCAGCAAAAAAGAGGAAGAAGGTGGAAGCAATGGATTGACACAGTGGGAACAACAATGGGCTCAAACATAACAAGTGTGAAGATGGTGCAGGGCCAGGCAATGTTTTGTTCTGCTGTGCACAGGATTATTATATGTCTGAACTCACTCAATGGCATCTAACAACAGCTTCCATAACTACATGAGCGGTTTCCTTTAAGTAAATCTCTGTATTGTGTGTATGATGAGACGGTTGCCTCTCTACAGGTGCAGACAGACGTGAAGGGGAGGTGCAGGGTAGATGGGACTTAAACAGAGACAGAAAACAGAATAGACCTTCCCTAGCATACTTTAAGTCTCTTCAACATTGGAAACTTGTATATTTACTCATAGATATTTGCTCCAAGCTAGTTCAATATATTTCAGAGCACCCACCCACCCATCCATCCATAAGCAAATACATCTCTCTATGCTTCCTGCTGGGCATAAAGTTGCTATGAGTTGGTACCAACTCGATGGCACCTAACAACATGCTTCCTGTCAGCTCTGGGGTAAGGTCCTTGTTGCCTTTCAGTATCTGTAAGTCCAGCATTCCTTGGAGATCACCATGTGTCTTGTCATCATTCTTCCCCTGGATGTAGGAGTGTCTAGAATGTTGCAAGACCAATGACTTATCATGAAGATCAAAGATTATAGCCTTCAGTATGGATTACAACTCAATGTAAGCAAAAATCCTCACAACTGGATCAATAAGCAACATCATGATAAATGGAGAAAAGATAGAAGTTGTCAAGGATTTCATTTTACTTGGATTCATAATCAATGAACATGGAAGCAGCTATCAAGAAATCATTAGGCAAAGCTGCTACAAAAGACGTGTTTCAAATATTAAAAAAGTAAAGATGTCATCTTGAGAACTAAGGTAAGCCTGACCCAAGTTCACTTTATTTTCAGTTGTCTCATATGCATGTGAAAACTGGACAATGAATATAGAAGGAGGGGAGGAATTGATGCATTTAAATTATGGTATTGGGAGAATATTGAAAGTACCATGGACTGCCAGAAGAACAAACAAGTCTATTTTGTTAGAAGTACAGCTAGAATGCTTCTTAGAAATGAGAATGGCAAGACTTTGTCGATTGTACTTT